AGTTCCTAACTATTTGCAATCAGTTCTATGCATCTTTTCCTGTGTCTAATTTAAGGAGCACACAAAGATAAAACAAAACTCTTGTTACTCTCCACTACAAGCAGTTTGTGGTTACTCGACCATAAGTATCTTCATCAGTCTCTCCTACTCAGTAATAGATATAAGATACCTAAAACTTTTTTGTCTTGTGCAACCACCATATCTGCACATTCAATTCTTTTCTTAGCATTGCTAAAATTGCATTTCATATATTCAGTTTTAGTTATACTTAGTCTAAAATCTTTAGTTTCTAGGACTTTTCTAAGACAGCTAGTGAGTTCATCCAACATTAATGTGAGAAGATAAAAGATCTCAAGCTAACCCATGGTGTGATCTTATGCTCACACAGTCCTCGTGCTAGTAACTACTCTTTCATACACTGCTTTTGTCACATCAATACAATTGTTGAAAAACAATTTCTTTGCTAACACCTACTAGAGTAAATTATCTATAAATTCTATCATAAGTTTTTTCTACATCAATAGAAACTACATGTAAGTGGTTCTTGTTCTCTTTATATTTTGCAGTAACTATCTAAATAAATATATAATTATTATGGTTGATTTGCTAGTCATAAGACCAAACAGGTTCTTCAAACACCTCATTTTTTCTCCTCCAATCATCCTTTCCCTAACAAATCAAGTATAAATCCTATTTAGGTAAGACTTATATGAACCATGAGACTTATATGAACTATGTGATGCCCAAAATATGGCCCAATAAAGCTCACAAGTCACATATGTTTGTTCATTTTATGGATCAACCCATTACTTGATTAAAAAAGTGACCCAATTGACAAATTTTAGACCCTAACCAACCACTAGGACTCAAATACAGATTAAATTGAAACCAAAAGCCTCCACTAAACGTCCATCAGTGCGGGCTAAATTAAAGCAGTAGGACTCAATGTGCCCTATAGAGCTACAAGGGTGTATTCAATTAGTGAACTTGCATTCTAATTTATGGCAGATTCATTCTAAACATAATTTGTACCTAATTTAACTCAAGAAGTCGCAACAAACCAAATCAACCTTTTGGCCACCTGAATAGGGCTAGTAGCCGACAGTCCAACACGGGATAAGAACATGTAATATTAGGTGACACTATTCCATGCTCTCAAACGAATCAAAAACCGCAACCGAAATCAAGCAGCAAAAAACTGATTAATAGATCGATTAGATTGTAACAACAAACAACATAATCTGCGGGGGCAAGAAACGAAGAAAACTTACAGAATCATGAGTCAGGTAAGTGTCGCAGTAATCGCAGTAGTACCTGAGAGCGAACGATCAGGGTTAGACAAAAACGGTCGAGGAGGACAAAAGAGAAAAAGTAGGACAAGCGGAAACGTAGAAGCAAGCGTCGTTTGATTACCGAGGCATGGCTACTGGTGGCGATCGGAAGCCTTTAGATCGAAGGCGAAGCCTTCGCGATCGATGGAGAGCAGAAGGCGAACCGTCAAGGAGACGGGGAGAAAGCAGCGGAGGGGGAAGCGTGAAGAAGACCGTGCCCTATTCCTCTTTCAATGTCTACCGATGCTTGGGGAAAAGGGACCCCCAATACGCCTTTAAACTGCTTAGGATCCGAATCCGAATCCGAATCCTATAGATATCGTTAGACCCGAAATCTCGAGTGGCCGATAGCCGAGCCGAACCCAATCGAACCCGGTTCAACTGTCAATTACGCATGCCAAATTAAGATTTCATGGTCCGATATCGGCCTGCAGAGTCATGAGTTAATGGGCCGAATTGGGTTGAGGATTGCTGTGTTTGTGTTGAGGAAGATTCATGCCTAAAAATAATGCCTCAGTACTGTGTTTGACTGTGCAATATCAACTGTAGCAGTATGCAGTATAGCTTTCAAACTTAATTTGGGTTTGACTTGAGGCATGTAATTGATGGTGATTGGTAAATCATGGGTAATATTTTTATATTTATGCTTAGTCAACCTTAAAGATTGAGACTTTTTAACTTCCTAATCTTTTACTGAAGTCCTCATCTTCATTGCTTGCACTAAATTCATATACTCATCCTAAGAAAACTAACTCATTAATTTAATGAGTGTGAAGTACTAACACAAAAAAAGACTCTATAACTCACTATTATCTGATAAGATAATGTATTGAATAACTTGTTGAACTTTAATTAAGATACTTAAGTTGGCAATTGTAGGAGTAAATCTACTGTTGCTCCACATCTGAAAACAGGAATCATGGAAGTGGATGATCATCTGCAGATCTTTCAGCATGGTTTGGGACCAGAAACAGCAGGTGGTCATCATGGCTGGAGGTGGTTCAGGTGACACTTAAGGCTTGTTGGTGTGCAACATGGGGTGTTGGTTTCCTCCCTCATACCAAACTCACTAACTTGTCTCTTCATTGGTCCTTTCTCCCACTGCTAATTGGGCATCACCTCTGACTTGACATGGGGTCCCTCTTGGGCTCAAGGTTAGGTGACAGAAACCATATCCCCACTCCTGAGCTCTCTGTTTTTAGCATGCAGTGCAAAGTAAGTGATGGAGAGCTGAGTGTGTAGGGTTGCAACCACCACTGCCCTCAAAAGAACCATAAACTCCATGGTGGGCAAAGGCAAAGCATTCTCTTATTACCAGTAGGTTAGGGGTGGCAGTTCAGGACTGACCTACTCACTGGTGCAAATCCATTAGAAGGTTGGTAGGGTTGGATGAGGCAATTGATGGGAATTGGTTGAGTTCACCTGACCAGGAAAATGAAATGGTGGTCAGGTGGAGGTGCCAATGCACTCCAACCTTTCAGTTCTTCTGTCTTCTTATCACTCTGCCTATGAAAATGGTATCATCAGTACTGACTACCTGTTAGGTTTCCTAGAAGAGGCAGTAGGTAGATAAGCATATAACTGAACTGAAATGTGCTTTGCTGAGAGTTGAGTTAACCTGCAGCAAAATGCAGATTTGGGGGATGATTAATATCATATATAATTTGTGATCTGATGAGCTTTTAACATTCTTGAGAAACAATTTAAGTCATAACTATGAATTAACATTCTTTGCTGGACTCTGCTTCAAGCAGACAAAAGATCCCTGTCAGGAAGTCAGACCTGATTCATATACCTAATTGGTAGACCACTGGGGGTTCAGAATTATTATGATCAGTATTTTGTGATGCATCAAAGAAATAAGATAATGCCAAATGCATGGTAGATAAGCATTTGGTTGAATAGCTCTGCTCAACTACATGCAGATCCAAGGAGATAATGCCAATTCATGAGCAAAAGAGAGATTGGAAGTTACTTATCATTGTAGTATAGTTAGTGTAGGATTGATTTAGTTTGCAAAGTCTGCATCAAAAATTTTCTGAGGATTAGTTCCATTTTTCACAGTAGAATCAAAATATCCACACCAAAATAATAATTTTATCATCTAGTAAAGAAATTAATTTGGTGGTGGTAATAGCAAATAATAATTTTATTTCTTGTTTCATTAAAATAAATAGAAGGAGACAAAAACAATATTAAAAAGAGTTTGAATGATTATTTTAGGTATTTCCAAAGAAATTTACAAGGCCAAGAACTGGATTTTGTTCTATTACACTGCCTAACTTTGAGAGAGTTTGAAGGCTATCAAATCAAGTTAGATCTGTTCCAATACTTGTTATAGGATGATAATATACAGATCCTTAAATTGGTAGTATCATATGTTCAGAGTTTTGTGAACATAACAATCAAAACAATATGATTATAGATCTTAACTTTAGCAGTAGTAACAAAAAATTAAGGATATGAATTTGCATTCATTAACACTGGAAATGGTTAAAAAGAATACCTAATAATTCTTCTTAACTCATTATATAGCCTTTTAAATACTTATTTTTTGAAAATATGGCACTCTGAATACTTAATTGCTTGTGCTGAAAGAAATTATTGTTTTGCTTGAGATATGTTAGAAGAGGTTCAATCATTTAAAGCTTCTAACTCAAACCCATGGGACTGCAGTGTGATGTAGGCCCTCCTCTCCATTTCCAACAAGCATCTTGAAGGTGTTTGACATGATGGTGGAGCTATTTACCACTACCTTCCCCACCCTCTCCCTCCATCCTCCACCCTTATTCCCCACCTAAACACAAACATTAGATGCTGGCACCTAAAATCCTAAAATAATCCATCTTGAATTGGGGAGCCAAAGTCAAACTGAACCACAAAGATCAGCTTCTTGTCAGTGTAGTCATAACAAGTCAGTGGCAGTGAATTAAATTCCCCTTCATTTCTCTCTCTACTGTGGGGAAGAAACTGCATGTGAGAGTGAAGAGTCCAAGAGAAAGAGGCAGGGAAGCTTAAACTCAAGTGAAAAATGGGAGAGGACAAGCAGGTGGAAAGGTAGTGGTGTCAGTGCTCCACCACCTTCTTCCCCTGATCCAAATCACCTCCCCATCTACCATCCCATCTCCAAATCACACCCCATCTCCACTTGCTGTCTCTTGGTGGAGCTGAATCCATTCAGGATAAGATAAGAGGCATATGTGGGGAAGTTGCATTGGCCCTTTCAGCTAGCTGGACCTTATATTTTTCTTTCCCTCTATTTATGCTTTGCAGCTGAATCAATGTATGATTTGATGGTGTTGATCCATTCCTCCTTGCTGGTAAAGCAAAGGTTACTGCTTGCTGGTAATTGCAACTCTTGTTGAGCTACCTTATGAGCCAGGGAACAAACATGGTGTGAATAATTGGATTAGAGGAACAGGATTAACTTTACATTGACATGGACCTGCAATTAATGAGTTGAAGATTTGAAGAGCATCATTCTCTGATGGATCAAACTCGATGATGACATGGAATATCGATGTCAGGGAGAAGGTAGAGGAAGCTGTTGGAATTAATGGAGGAATGGAGGACAACACACAGCAACACTTCATATCAAGATGGTGTCATGCTCTGTTTTCAGAGCATTATATATATATATATATATATATATATATATATATATATATATAAGATAAAATGATTTTTCGGTTTAATTTCGAATTAGAACAGCAAAATATTTTAGATTACAATATGCTCAGCAAGACAAAAATAAAGGGGACAAAAAGGAAAAAAAAAAAAAGGAAAGAGAGAGCAGTAATAGTTCAAAGTTGGTAGAAACTCTGCCGTTGACATCAGTCGGTGCCTGCGGCGCCGTCGACGGCGGGAGCGACGTCGTCTCCGGCGGGGGCGCCATCGCCGTCGAGAGCTTGGAGATCCGTCGGGACGCACTCCGACTTGTGGGAAAGCTTCCAATCCAGAGCCTGGCACGCCCTGGAGCAGTAATTGACTACGCCGCACACCGAGCATCGGCGGAACTCGTGCCGGCGCGTCTCCGGACGGCCGCAGCCGCTGTAGGAGCAGAGCCTCAGACCCTCCGCAGCAGCCGCGGCCGGCCATCCCCGCTCCCTGAACCACTCCACCAGGAACCGGTTGGCCGGATGCGGGGCCGGCGCCGGCACGTTCCAACCGTAGTCGCTGAGGAGGGGGCAGCACCCTGGTGACGTCGCACCCGCCGCTGCTGCGGCCTGGCGAGGCTGCTTCTGCCACGCGGGCCAGGACGTCATGGCAGCCGCGAGCTCCCGGGCGTTGGCCTGGACCAAGAAGCGCCGGCCCTCGGCGACGTTCCGACGGACGCCATAGCCGTCCTGGAGGCAGTGGCCGAGCTCTCGTAGGGCGTCGACGTGGCCGAGGAACGCTGCACGGGCGCACAACGCAACGCCGGCTCGGAGATCCTTGTCAGTCTTGGAGCCTCCGCTTCCGTTGAATTGGATTACCGACAACGAATACAGTGCTGCCGGGTTCGATCCGATCGCCGCCCTGGCCATCAACGACGCGCCGCTCCCTCTGTTCTCCAGAGCGTAGAATCGAATCTGCTTCCATAAAAATTCCAACTTTAGCTAAACTCCCAACATTTCTTCAATCTCAGTAGCCAACGAAGAAGTCATACCATTCCCAACATATAGCTCGCTTCCAGGTTCCCGCAATCGGCGCAGCGCTTAAGGAATCGATGCGACGAATCGGACCACGTGTTCGCACGAACGCCGAGGCATCCTGCGCTGACCTTGGACAATACCAGCGGATGGTGCCCCAAACCATGAAATCGCTTACATCTGTTGCAGATACCCAAAAAGAACAAAACTTTACTCACAACACCAAACAAAGATACGATTTTGGGAGGATCAAGCTCGAAAATCACATCACAAAACTCTCTAACAAAGCGAGGCCAGATTAGTGTTCGTACGTCAACATGGCGCTGATAAGATCCAACGGGCGACGAGCGGAGGAGCTGAGCTTGGAAAGCACGGAGACGACGAGATCATCAGGAAGCCCATCGAAGTAATCCGCCCTATCCTCGACCTCCGCCGGCGCCCCCGCGGGGGCACCTCGCGGCCGTTTCCGGCCGCAGGACTCCGCTCCCCGTTCCGTTGCCCGGCCTCCTCTCCTCTTCCTCTTCCTCTCCTCCCTCGGCGCTCCTCCGCCGTCGATCCGCGGCCGGGCCCTCAGGCATTGGGAAGCACTTCTGGTTCTCCTACGCATCTCTGCCTGCGATTGGAGATGAGTCGGACACGGAGCTCTACGGAGGAGGCGAGGGGGAACGGACGACTATTTATCCATTATTGGCAACAGGAATCCCGACCGGACGACTTGTAGTAAATTTGATGACTATTTTACCCATCAGAAACCCACAAATTACGAAAATGGAAATCTCTTATTAGTGTTTTTAATTAGGATTAGATATTCCTTTAATTATAATCCCACAAGCATTAAAACAACAACAAAAAAAATAATGATTTTGACATTAAAAATTTTATTAATTGATCCAAAATTCTTGTACTTCATAATCTAATGTCTTATTTTAGGGTGCATTCAAAGGAATCACTCAGGTTAGTGTTAGGATTTCCTTAGTAATATCTATTTCTTACCATTTAATTTAAGATTGTCAAATGCCCTAATTAAAATGGCAGTTACAGTCAACAAGAAATGAAACGGTTTTAACGAACTCAGGTGGGATGAAATATGTGGACAAACTATTTCTATCTTGCAAATAGAAAAGGTCGGTTGGTTTTCTATATGTGGAGAATGGTTTCACTTCCAAAGCACCCAATTCAATTAATCCCAAATATTAATGACAATGGAGTTGAAGTTAGGCTTTCCATTATTTGGAAGAGGTTGTTGAGGGCCTCATGTTATTACTCCTGAAAATATTTGCTAACAATAGGATTAATTTTCTTTTAAGAGTCAAATGAAATAATTGATGCAAAGGTTGTTTCTATAACTTAGAAAACACATGTTAACGTTATTTGCGGGATAAAAAAAAAGAAATAGTTGTGTAAACTCATTTAGCCGTAATCCAAAATGTCAAACTTTTACGACTATAATCAATCATCATTTTAATAGTTTTAGGAGGGAGATACTTTTGTGTCTCGATAGTTGCATCCCAACAACAACTTTGATGTTGTCATTGCTCTTCTCACAATGTCTAATATGTGTGAGAAAATTAGATTATTATTATTATTAAGTTATTCTCTTAATTTTATGTCATAATTGTTATTTCTTAACAAAAAAAAACATATTAGTGATAGATAAATACGGAATAAACTACCGTCGTCGTAAACTCGGGATCACACAAGTAAACCTGAATAAAATATTTAATTAACATATAAAGATAAATGACTTTGCAAGATTGGAGAAGCACATAGATGCATTAAATCTTCAACACATAAAGATGATGTTGCTGATGAGCAAAGAAACAATGGTTAGTGTGACTGACATATGGACCTGTCCTTCAACATGGCTGTGAGGCAAGTACTTAGTTACTACCCCAAGGATGAACACTTGGTGTGGGTCAGCAATTTTCTAGATTTAATTATGATATGGAATCAAGAAGATTATAAAGGATTTCATTTGATTATTTTAAGTATCTTTTAAGATTTTAGTAGTCAAAATAGAGTCAGATCAGTTAACTGTTATGTCAGGAATAGTTTGGAGTATTTTCAACATGTAAAACAAGATATGCATGATAAATAAAAAATACATCAATTGGTATGATGATTTCCTTTTCCTTAGATTCTTTCTATCCTAGTCCCAAAATCAATATCAAAATAAATTATAAATCTAATTCTGAATCTTAGTATAAGACAAGAATCGTCCAAAATAAATCTAGATAGATTTCTTTATCATATGTAATCTTGACAAGATCTCTAAGCAAGAGGGCGAGAGCTTGAGATCCTAAGACAAAGAATGTTTTCTTTTATGATTTATGATGATCTAATAGATTTGACCAACCTGTTTAATCATTTCTCTCATATTCTTTCAAGTAACCATAGGTAGTCCCTAACAATATTGTTTATTCGATTTTTTTTCCTTGATTTCCTTCAAGAAAAAGAAAAGAAGACAGCTATGATCACATTAATATTTATTTAAGTGAATTGACATAGACAACCTAAACCCTAATATTGGAGAAGACATCCATCCCACTTTAATAATCAGTGGAAGGAAACTTGGCCTCGATCAAGCACTCTCTGTTACGTTTCTTTCTCTTCCAAAGCCAACACACCATTTCCTTGGAAGACTCCACAGCTTCAAGAAACCTTTCTGAAAGCAAGTCAACCTCAGCAGTTCCCTACATTGCCATAACTGGACCAAGATTAACGCTAAGGAGGGATCTCTACACACAAAAACCTAAACGAATGGCATGGCGTCTCCTCCACAACCCCCCAACCTGCATTGCTTGGTTTCCTCTCGCTTCTGGTGTTTCAGTTCAGCAAGCAACTTCTCGTGCTGCTGAACTTTGTAGCTCGCATCCAAATAAGTTTGTGTTGGAAGTCCAATCACAACCACAAAGTGCAATCAAGTTGAATCCCAAGGCGGCAAGTCTCAACTACATAGGTAGAAATTGCGTGTTGTGTGGTATGTTCATCTGTATTGCGTACTTTGCTTGAATCTTCTCGGGCACAAACCTCTTGCAAGTTCTTCTAAGTATCAGAAGAACAGATATATGCATGAATGGGAGACATCTAAGTTACGAAATAATTAATGATTGATTAGAGAAAAAAGATAAATGAAACTCCGAGGATCAATATATGTGATCTTACTCCTCGACTCTATTTCTCCATCATTTTCTAAGTGTAATTAAATTTATTAGATAAAAGATCAAACTCTCGGGTAAGTGAATTCGATCCACCTAATACATCCGCAACAAAAAAATTTATTTTAAATGTAAAAAATTATTGGATGAAATTTTAGACTCTTGATTTTTGATAAGCAAATTTTGTATCGTAAAATCAGACCAATATTTTAGGTGTTTCTTTTTGTTGGATGAGATTTCTCGTACTAAATCTTTGTAAATGAATTATTCACATCATTATCAAAGTAATGATTTAGGTACGAAAACATTATCGAATGAAATTTCAGACTCTCAAACTACGATAAGCAAATTTTGTATCGTAAAATCAAACCAATATTTTAGGTGTTTCTTTTTGTTGGGAGAGATTTCTCTACTAAATCTTTGTAAATGAATTTTGCACATCATTATCAAAGTAACAATTTAGGTACGAAAACATTATCGAATGAAATTTCAAACTCTCAAACTACGATAAGCGAATTCAGTACATCTATCAACATTTTAGATGCAAAAACAACTTCTACCTTAAATTTCATACGACATAACAACTTGAAAACAACAATATAAAATTTTTTAGTATAGCAAAGTTTAAATGAGAAGTGGAAAACAATATGTTTAGGTAATGAAAAGAATGCCGTCCAAACAACCACCATCTACAAATTTGTATCTACTGGAATCTAATATATATATATATATATATTTGGCTAATGCATCCTATGCTTGGTCTTTATTCCTACACATTTTAATTTTTTGCACTATAAACCAAGATAAACTAGCCATCAACTCTTTTTCTTTTAATTAGCTTTAATTTAATCATTCAATTGCTTGATGAACTTGTTTTCCAATGACTGTAGTTTAGGAGCATGCATGGACCCATTAGTCAATGATTGATAAAAGATGAACCCAATACAATGTTGACAATCTATAGTTTCCATCTTACTTAACATCTACTTGGAGTGTAGGGGACAACCAATGGAACTGACCAACAAGAAATAAACAATCCTTGTCCTTTACTGTTTGTGCTTCCATGTGGTCCATGACATGAAAAGAATAGATTTGTCCACTTAATAGATCAATACAATCATCCAAAGCAAACCAATTAAGACTTGGAGAAAGAAAGATTTATGAAAGGTCTAAAGTATTATCTTTAGAATACTAAGATAAAATAGCCATAAAGGTCTTAATAATATAAGATAATATCAAATTATTCATTTAAGAGTAAATCTATATGTACCCATAATATACCCACAATCAACTTCTCTTTCTTGACATAATTTGGATCACATTAACCACGTCAAATGATGATCTAAAACAGTTGGGAGAGTGATAGAAGATTAGAGAGATCACATAAGGGATATAAAATAGACATCACCTCAAACCAAACATGATCAACAAAACCTACTCCCAAATAGTTGGGGTGGATACTAATTTGTTAGTTCATAATATGGGGATAATGCGAGACTAGGTACCTGTTCTTGGTTGAATGCTCCATTAAAAAGGTTAGCACAGACAAGGTCTCAAGGCTAAGGCATTTGGAAGGCACCGGCATGGGGTCATGTCACCCTAAAATAAGGAACCTGATGACCATGATGAGACCAACAACTTTTTTTCTTTAGTGCTAGCAAAGTTGCTTAAGCTTAAGTACATCAGGATGCAATAGCAAAGTTGTTCTTATCTTTGAGTTGCTTACCAATGTGCCAAGTCGGGAAGTTTCCACCTAAATAGCCAGGTCCAATGTATTCATGGATTCAAGCACAAAGGGGCATTAGGCATAAACAATAGTGCTGCAACAAGAAATTAACCTGCAAAAATGACAAAAAGATTATGTTGATGATGCACGATGAAGTGAAAAAGTGTATCACTTGAGCATTACCATGTTTTATCACTTATCCAATCTCAGATTTGACTCATGATCTCTAAACATTTGTCAGATCATGTTAGTGGAGGAGTCACAATCCAATCCATTGATCAAGCACTATTGATATGTTCTTCTGTGGTCAATGCCCATCTGAAGCCTTTTCAACATATGTTACACGAGGCAAAACTAAAAGCTGATAACCATGTCAACTTGTAAGTTACTCACCAAACTTACTTTGAACAGCCTTTATATGTTATTCAAATTTTTCTCATCATCCTAGGCCATGTATGCATGGGACAAAACCTCATCCCACTACGACCACTTTCCACCCTATGCACCTCATCTGCTCATCTGGTCATTCCTCCAATTTATAGCCTCACAACCAGCATTTTATCCAACTGATGGAATTACCCAGAGGAATCACAGCAAGACCAAGATCCTGCACAGGACTGGAGTCTTGGTTCCCACGTTCTTCACTCTCTGAAATGTTTCATAATTGATGTACCATTGTGCCACCTTTATCATGTACCATTTATTGGCTTTGTTGTGGCCTCAAGATGCACTTCTTTGCCAGCTCAATGACCTTTGGATCTTATACCCTCATTGTTTTAGTGTTGTTGCTGCTTTGTATGGTTAGTGTAAATATATATCACATGCTCAATAATTCATCAACTAAGATAAGCATCCTATGTTTCCTTCCCCCCTCGTATAGTCTTTACAATCAAATCCATAAATAATGCTAAATATATATAACACATGCTCAATAATTTATCAAAAGAGTAGCTTTCTATGCTGGCTTGCCCCTCAATTCAGAAGGGGATGATTGATGATCTTAAATGATGCAATAGCACGCACCTTGTGGAACTTATTTCCTTGCCATATTCATAGCTGTACTGGGAATTATAGCAAAGTATGTATAAAAAAAATGATTAAGTTGGCAATAATATTGCAACTCTTGGTTCTTGGTGAAAGCTAATCCCCAAAATTTACCCTTTAACAAATCATATTAATGGCATCTTTAATCATGAGGTTAATGGGGAGAAAAGAACAAAGGAAAAAACAAATGTTATAATGGTTCCAAGCATTTGGATCCTCTCTTTCTCTATCTCTGAATGTGTGTATCAATGTTTTTCTCTCTTGTTATTTCTTCATTATTTATTTGTATCTTCATCATCTCTTTGAAACTTACTTGAAATGAGATCAGCTCGGTCATCTGTATATATCTTCAGACTGTTTTCAGTTCTCTATTATCAACAAGTTTGACAAAGACACTGCAACTAATGCACCTCCCCATCCCAAGTTGAGACATCCAGTGATAACATAAAAGTATACATCAAAGAGGAATGATCTGTTAGATCACATGCATGACTACACACAGAGACACATTGGTTAAAGCATTTACAGTCCATGACAAAAAAAAAAAAAATCATTGCAGAAGCTGTTATAATCATATGCGACTTAGTAACACTTGCAGGAAAGAAACTTGTAATTTATAGAGGACTACTCGAGCTACGTCAGAAAGCTTTCTCAGGTAGACTGAGTCCACAAAATTGTCGCTCAACATATTCAAGATACAGCCCGTAACGTTTAGTGCCCTTAAGGGCAAAAACTGTACTTGCTCCTTGGAAATTTGTGAGCTAAACCCAAACCCCTCTTTGCATTTGTTTTGGTTTCAGAAGTGAAGTCAACTTGGGCCAAGTTTACTTTGGGCCGAAGGCTTAGCAAACTTGAGAAACCAATTCAACAAAAGCATAGACCCAATTTCTCCTACAGTCTCCAATCACACCCACGTTCGCAGTGGGATGTAATTACATATATCTTTTACATGATTTGTTTTCTAGCATGCATTGATCAAAAGTGTTTCTTTATATAGTTTAATCCTATTTTTATCAATATTTTACATTTATGATGTCACAAAGTTAGGACAAACCAGTTTCCTGAGGATTACATGACATTCTAATACGTCTAATGCCTCACAAGGGGTCCTGTATAAACATACACACATATATAGTCCAATTATATTGATTCACTTCAACTGATCTTAATCATGCATACTCTTTTGAAGTTTCTCCACCTGTGTGTTTCTAAAGAAAAAACACAATGAGGCTGGTTATAGAAAAACATTCAGTGGGCTGAGTTATCTTTGAACACAGCATGACAAATCACTAGGGCAGAAAAAAAAATCTTTACTCTGCATACTCTTTGAACATTCGATGTAAGATCCATTCAGATATGTAAACAACCACCTGCATTTCAATTGCCTTCATAAAGAGCTAAAGCATAGTGATGTCCACTAAAACTTCCTCCTAGGCATCCACAAAATATTTGTACCTCTTATCAAATAGCAACTAGTTCTTGTTGATTGCAATATTTTCAGTTGAGACATTACATCAAACAGTTCATACACACTATCTACGAGAACGCTTCAGCACCAAAAATTAAAAAGGTGTTCTTTTTTCTAGCGTTGAAGTTGGGAAGGAAGCCTGTGAAGTCGAAGCCGTAATCTAAATGCATTTAGTGGAAAAAAACGAAATAAAAAAGGACGGTTATACCATGTCGAAGATCGGGTTCTTTAGCCGTCATGCCAAGGTGTGCGTGCCCGAGGAAGACTAGAACGGGGTTTCAGATGTAGTGGACGCCGGATATATCATGGACTGGACAACGGATTAGGGTTTCCATGGAGGCAAGGAGGAGACGAGCGGGAAAGGGAAGATTCGAGAGACACGAGAGGAGAGGGCGGGGCGGAAGACGAGGGATCAGACGAGTTTGCTTAAATCTTGACCGTTAAATTTAGATCAATGTCTGAGATTAAACTTCATGATGGGCCAAGCGCGACCGGGCCAGCCCACGTAACAGGAAATACCCTATATATTTACCTTCAAAGTCCATCGCGGCGTTTCACTTCCCCTTCTCGTGTGTCGATTAGGCGGCGACTCCACATCTCGCCCCGAAGCCTCGTCTTCTCTTTCTCTTCATCTCTAATGGACGATGCCGCCGCCTTCTCCTCTTCCTCCGCTCCTTCCGCCGAATTCGGAGCCCACCAAACCCTAATCCCACCGCCTCCCTCTCATCCACCGCCCCCTCCTCCCCCCTCGCACGAAACCCTAGATCACGGGTTCCCTCCCCCTCCACCTCCCGAAACCGTCGCTGATCCTTACCAATATCATGCCCTCGATCCGCAAACCCTAGCCAAGGATTTGCATCCGAATGGCCCGCCTTCGAAGCCCGACGAGCGGCCGGTGATCTCCGGAAACGCCGTCACCCACAGCGGCACCGACAAGGACTGCTCCGGCGGGGAGGAGGAGGCCAGCAGTCGCCGCCGACGCCGGCGCAGCCGGTGGGACCCCCCTCCGTCCGAGGGTGACCAGAACGGCGGCGGCGACGGGGCCGGTGACGGCAGTGGTACTGGGAGGAAGAGGAAGTCCCGATGGGCGGAGGAGGAGCCCAAGCCCACCGTCCAGCTCCCGGACTTCATGAAGGAGTTCACCGCGGACCTTGATCCTGAGGTCCAGGCCCTAAATTTTAGGCTTCTTGAGATCAGCCGTCGGTTACAATCGAATTTGCCTCTGGATGACCGCCCTGAGGGTGCTCGCTCGCCGTCCCCCGAGCCCATCTATGATAATATGGGAATCCGGATTAATACCCGCGAGTACCGTGCCCGTGAGCGGCTCAATAAAGAACGGCAAGAGATCATCTCTCAGCTCATCCAGCGGAATCCAGCGTTCCGACCTCCAGCAGACTACCGGCCTCCCAAGCTGCAGAAGAAGCTTTATATCCCCATGAAGGAGTATCCAGGCTACAACTTCATTGGCCTCATCATTGGTCCACGAGGGAATACGCAGAAAAGGATGGAGAAGGAGACTGGTGCCAAGATCGTTATCCGTGGTAAAGGGTCTATAAAGGAGGGCAAATTGCTGCAGAAGAGGGATTATAAGCCCGACCCTGCAGAGAACGAAGATTTACACGTGCTGGTGGAAGCTGAGACACAGGAATCACTCGAGGCTGCTTCTGCCATGATTGAGAAGCTTCTGCAGCCTGTCGATGAAGTGCTGAATGAACATAAGAGGCAGCAGCTGAGGGAACTCGCAGCCCTGAATGGAACTATCAGAGATGAGGAGTTCTGTCGGTTGTGTGGTGAGCCCGGGCACCGGCAGTATGCTTGTCCTGCACGTACCTCAACATTTAAGAGTGACGTTCTGTGTAAAATCTGTGGTGATGGAGGACATCCAACGATTGACTGCCCCATGAAAGGTGCTGGCAAGAAGATGGATGATGAATACCAGAACTTCTTAGCTGAACTTGGTGGTGCTGCTCCAGAGTCCTCCACTAAGCAGAACATTGCATTGCCGCTTCTTGGTTCAAGCACTTCTGGGAGCAATCCTAGTGGTGCACAAGGAAACCTGATTAAGAAGGAGATCGATGATACAAATCTTTATATTGGGTACTTACCCCCTACTTTTGATGATGATAGCTTGATTAGATTGTTCTCGCCCTTCGGTGATATTGTGATGGCAAAGGTTATCAAGGATCGAGTCTCTAGTTTAAGCAAAGGTTATGGTTTTGTGAAGTACTCTGATGTATCTATGGCCAATCAAGCAATAGCTAGTATGAATGGTTATCATCTAGAAGGAAGAGTTATAGCTGTTAGAGTGGCTGGGAAGCCAGCACAGCCAACGGTACCCCCAGGTCCTCCAGCTCCCCCTGCCTCAGCAGGTGGATATCCTTCTCAGCAGTATATTCCTGGTGGACCCATTGTAAACGCCCCACCTCCACCTGGAAGTTATGCCCCGGTCCCTTGGGGTCCACCAGTTCCCCCTCCATATGCTCCCTATGTCCCCCCACCACCTGGTTCTAGCATGTACACTCCAATTCAAGGTCAGCCACTGCCTCCTTATGCAATGCAGTATCCACCTCAGCAACAAGCTGCTCCTCCTGGTGTGCCAGTGCACAATACATCTTCTAGTGAAGCAATGCAAAACCTTCCTCCTGGAGTGCAGCCACAGAGTGCTAGTACAGTTACTCCACCTGTACCAAGTGACATCTATGGTACTGGTTCACTACCAGGAGTTGTTCCAGCCATTGCTCCACCATCATTTTCTCCTGCTACTTATGGATATCCACCTTACTATGCTCCAGTTGTGCCACCAGTTCCACCTCCCAGTTTCGATCCTTCGCTGAGCATTGGAAATGTACCATGGGTTACGAACACCACACAGCCCCAGCCTGTATCTTCTGCAGAACAATCAACTACTCATGGATCAGATGTGGAGTATGAGAAGTTAATGTCAGAGTTGAAATGATGCTGCCATGCTATTTTTTTCTTTCAAGGTATTTTAACTACTCTCTTGGGTTTCTCTTTTCAGGGCCATTATATATTATGATTTTTTTGCATCTAGGTAAATTTACTGGTAACAAAAAATTTTAGGTTTCAGTTGCTAGTTCATATACTAAAGTATAATTCAGAAGGAATTAAAAGAGTAAATATTTCTTGAAGATAAAATCAGACTCCACATATTATTTTTGTTGGAACCTTAAGAACTCTCTTAGTGGTTTCATAGGGTCTGTCATCCACATTATGCTGCTTTGCTTCTTGCTTCTCAGGATAAAAGACATCTATACTAATGAAAAATTGTTTTACTTGTAAATCCTATGTAATTTAAATCTTTTGATTAACTTGTCAGGAAAATCAATCTCATGACTGTTCTGGCCAATGTAATATCTATAGCACATATCATCTTTGCTCTCCTTGCAGCTTGCATCTATAATCGAGGACCCCATTTCTAAAAGTACAAGTAATCTCTTAATTCTATTCATATGTTGATTCACTGCAAATGTTCGATGGAGATAGCTGAATTTGCGAATTTAATTTGGAAGCCTACCATTGAAGGACTTCTCTCTTTATGTTACCTCCAATAACATTCATGGATACACAGTCTTATATCAAGCAACTTTTGATAATGCTTGACCTATATTAAACTTAGGCTCTTAAGCTGAACTAGTAGCTTGATTTGTCCACTCTGAAATTTGAATACAACTTTCATCAAAAATGTAAATAATACTTGTCCACTTCTCTTAATGTCTACTCGTCGCAAGAAAGAGGATGGCAGATTTCCACAACTACATACACATGAAAAATTGTCTGTGTGTACAAGTTTGTGAAGTATGCTAATGCTAGTAGGGAAGTCAGCTTTAAGATAATTTGCATTTTGTAATTGATTAATCGCTTGGCTTGTACATTATTTGTCTTAACTCTTCGTAGGTACTGTTCATGTCAAAGATTAGTTTAAGAGGGCTTTAATTGGCCTGTTAGTTTGATGGTAATAAAATAAGACATTCAGGATTTATGGACCACAAATGGAGAACAATATAATGAACTTAAAGAACTTTTCTTGTAAATGTATGCGAGATAACTCACAATGGTTCGTCATTGAACCATATTTGGTTGTATCATACCCATTTATGATGTGTAGCTGATATTGTCATCACTAGTTGTAGAAGCTCAGGAAATTTGCTCAGTCTTGATCACATAGTCCCAGATGTACAGGTTTCTTTTAAGACATTGTATGGAGAGCATTTTGGAGGTGTTTCTTGAGAAAATAGAAATTCTTATTTGTGGGAAAAGAGATATTCAATAAGGTTAGGGGCAGTGTCACAGCGAATTGTGCATTGTGGACATAATTCTGCTCTCACAAACAATATTGACTAATATTGATCTCCTGGATCTTGATATAGATAAAATTTTGGATGGTACAAGTTTGTATGAGATTTTGGTTATTGATGAAATTTATGAAGTTGAGAAGTATTAAACTTGAATATTGAATTCATTGTGAACTAGTATTGTGGTGTACATACTTGCTGAGAGTATTGTTCAAATTAGAGAACTTATACAAGATAAAAATCACTTTTTTTCTCCTCTTCCATAACTGTGTTAATAATTACACATGTTTTGGAATTTGTGTTTTGTGTATATTTGAATACATTTCTGAATCAATCAACTAGATTTATACATTTTTTCATGCATATCAAGCATGTTGTAAGAACATTACAAATAAATTCTTATATTTATCTTTCTAATGAATTGCTAACAAATCAGTGAATGAAGAATTAATGTGTTAGTCATGCAATTGCCTTTGTGAATGTTATTTTCAACCAAGGTTTGAAATATCGTATCGTACTGACATTTCGACATTCGCTCGGTACGGTACGATACTGTATACCGAGCGGTATACCGTTTGGTATACCGCTCTATATATATATATATATATATATATATATATATATATATA